GGAATTGTGTATCTTAAAAATTAGGGCAAGCCACAGGGGAAAATGTGTTGTAGATGTATTTGAAAATGAATTTTTTTAAAAGTTGTTGTTAGGTGGCAGCACTGTGATGCAGTAGGTGGAGCTGCTGCCTGTGGCACATAGGTTCAAGTCTTGGTTGCTCTGCTTTGGTTTTAGCTCCCTGCTTCTGTCCTGGAAAAGCAGTGGAGGGTGGCTCAAGTTCTTGGGCTCATCACATATGTAAGGGACCTGGAGAAAGCTCCTGGATCCTGTTTTTGGATCAGCTCAGCCATATGGGAGTGAACCAGCAGATGGAGAATCTCTCTGTGTCTCTTTTTCTCTGTGTTACTCTGACTTTTAAGTAAAAATAAAATAAAAAAATCTTTTTTTTAAAAGGCATTTAGTAATTAAGATGATAGGTATACATGTTCAGGAAAAGAGTTCATTATATATAAAAAGTACTTTCTGGGGGGACAATTCTGTCCTGTCTATGACAAAAAATAAATATAAAAACAGTTGGAAACCATTATGCTTTGTGAAATAATCCAGTTCCCTAAGCCATGTGTTATGTATGTTTTCAATGGTTGATGGTTACTAACTTATAGAGCACAAAAATATGTAATATATAGGAGTGAAAGTGACATCTTGACATTTGTTGCTGTTTTTAGCCCCTTGTCTGTGCTCTCGAGGAGCACTTGTCTTTCTCTTTACTACTGGGAGTTTTTTCCTGCTAGTTGTTTCCCTGGGTCGAAGTAGGCTCTATGAAGGTGGGCAACCCATCTCGAACCGCCAGGTACTTAATATATACTATGTGGTCTTGTGTGTATTTGGCATTCTGTGTATTTGCATGAGTGAAGAGTAATTCTGGGAGATTAGAGCAAAGCCACAGCCTATCAAAAAGCCTATCAATTCATTTTTGCATTTCTGTTCATTCCTTCTTTAGTGGCTTCTCTACTACAAAAATTATCCTTTTCTTAGGAGAAAGGTCACAGATCCCCTTTAAAAACTAAAATGAACCACAAAGTGGTAAAGGTGTACACAACCTCAGTTTTCTCATCTGATTTTGGTCATCTCATGGATGTCCATAAAGCTCTTTCCAGCTGGGTCCACCCCTCTACAGATATCTGTTGTGCAGTTATTTTTCTGATTGATGTTCATTTTATTCTGAGAAGTTTGAGTGTCATTGCGTTGTGATTTTTTCCCTCCTAATCTTTGTCTGGACTTTGTAGTTTTATTGTGAAATTTTTTAAAAAAGATTTATTTATTTTTATTGGCAAGTAGATTTACACACACACACAAACACACACACACACACAAAGAGAGAGAGGTGTATTCATATCTTCCATCTGCTGGGTCACTCCCCAAATGGTCACAGTGTCCACAGCTAAGCTAATCTGAAGGCAGGAGTCAGGAGCTTCTTCCAAGTCTCCCACATAGCCATAAGCAGGGACTGGATTGCAAGTGGAGTTACCTGGACATGAATTGGTGCCCAAAATGGATGCCATGGCTTGCAGGTGGAAGATTAGTCAATTGAGGCATTGCAGCAGCCTATTGTGAGGAGTTTTCAAGCATACAGAAAGGTTCTGTTGCATACACTTTGGAGACTGGCATTTTGTTGTTGGCACTGATGACTTCAGTGCCTGTATCCCCTGTCTGGGTGCTGTTCTAGTTTCAGCTTCCATGCTTCCAATCCAGATTATTGCAGCTGTGCCTGGGATTGCAACAGGAGATAGTTTGCACCCTTGTCACCCATGTTGGAGACCCAGGTGGAAATCTTAGCTCTTAGGTGTGGCTTGGCCCATATGTGGCTGTTTTAGCCATTTGGGGAATGAACCCATTGATGGGATCTGCCTCATGCATGTGCGTTCTTTCCATCAAATAAATCAATATATACTAACACACAGACAAACACACACACAAACACACACTCTTTTGTATTCCAAAGTTCCGATTCCCATTCATCTTTCTATTTTTTTTTTTTGTACACAGTGTAACTTCCTAATCCTGACTTTAATATTCAGGCAATTTTGCTGGAAATATGCCCAGACCTTCACAAAGATCTGAAACCATGTCCCCATTCAGTATGTTCACATTACTGGTTTAAGTGATTGTTGTTTACCTGTTGTAGAATTGTTGGATTTATACTTTATAGATGCTCTTAGCTTAAAGTGTTCGATCAGCGTTCTCTTTATAGTTAGATGAAATCTGTTGAGAAAAAAATCCAGATATTGACCTAGTTATAAAATCAAGAAGATCAAGTAGGGAGTTGGAGATGAAGTTGCTAGGCCTGGTGGCTAAGCCTCTGGGAGCAGAAGGAGTTGCGGGAGAACTTACGGGGCTGCGGCAAGTGCAGGTGCTCACAGGGGTCCCACAGGCAGAACTTGATTTGGGTGGAGAGGGGTCCTGCAACCTGGTTTGCTTTGCATTTATGGGTTTTACCACCACACAACTTACCCAGTTACTCTTGGACATGTCGTAAAAAGATGAGGATTGTAGTGTTCTCTGAGGAAGAGCAACAGTATTTTATTTCACAGCATGTTAGACTGCAGGAGTTGGGAAGAATAGGTATGGAAATTTAGGGCTCATACCACCAGTTGGTAGCATTTGTCAAGTCATAGAGTGCCAGAGAGATACAGTATCCCATAGGATGAAGAAATCTAAAACATAGCCTCTTTTCATGGTAATCCTGTGATATATATATATCACATATATAAATATAAACAAATAAATAATAAATATTATAAACAAATATAATATAAATAAATATATGTATTTAAATGGTCACATATTAATCTGTGATGGTAGTTAATTTTAGGAATTGGTTTGTCATTAGAGATCTAAATTACTAAAAACTGTAGTTTCACATGTTCAGAAATATGCTGTATTAGTAATGCATAAAAGAATTAGTGGTGACAAAAGTTTTTTTTTTCTTAAGTTTTATTTTTATTGGAAAGTTAGATATACAGAGAGGAGCAGAGACAGAGAGGAAGATATTTCGTGTACTGATTCACTCCTCAAGAGACCTCAACACTGGAGCTGTGATGATCCAAAGCCAGGATCCAAGAGCTTCCTCCAGGTCTCCCACTCGGGTACATAGTCCCAAGGCTTTGGGCCTTCTTTGACTGCTTTCCCAGGCCACAAGCAGGGAGCTGGATGGGAAGCAGCGCTGCTGGAATTAGAACCGGCAGCCATATGAGAATCTTGGCATGTTCAAGGAAAGGATTTTAGCCACTAAGGTACCATACCAGGCCCCCAAACAGTGTATCGTACTCAAAGCATAGCAATATATATTCACTAGCTCATTTTCATAATAACTGTGGTCATTATCTAATAAATATGTTAGGAACCTGCCACAGAAAATAATATTTTAGTGAATTTTTGGTTTTATATCTATAGTTTTTTTTTTTTTAAAAGATTTATTTATTTATTTTTATTACAAAGTCAGATATACAGAGAGGAAGCTCTTCTGTCCACTGATTCACTCCCCAAGTGAGCACAGCAGCCGGTACTGTGCCAATCCGAAGCCGGGAACTAGGAACCTCTTCCGGGTCTCTCACAGGGGTACAGGGTCCCAAAGCTTTGGGCTGTCCTCGACTGCTTTCCCAGGTCACAAGCAGGGAGCTGGATGGGAAGTGGAGCTGCTGGGATTAGAATTGGTGCCCATAGGGATGCTGGCGCATTCAAGGCGATGACTTTAGCCGCTATGCCATGCCACTGGGCCCTATCTATAGGGTTTTATTTTTAGGTATTTCTGTGTGTATCATTATCATTATCTGTTTGTAAAATAAAGTGTTCTTTTTTTTCATACTTATTACCATTATGTGATGTCATAATCAGTGTGTATATTCTGCAATTTTGCTTCTCTCACTTTTTATTTTTCCTTGCATGATTTCCTGTGATACAAAATTAAAGATTAATCAACTAGGAAGCTTGCAGTTACCAGAAGTTTTGGAAATTGGGCCTTTATGCTGTTGACATGAACTCTTTTTAGCATAAAATCAAAATAAAGTAGGGTATTTGAGACTTATTGAACAATTTTTTGGTATATTTTACATTTTTCATCTAGTTTTCTCAACACCATTTGACTTAAGAATTGCTGTTATCCTTAGTTGATGACTAAAGCAGAGTTTGGTAACACAGCCACACAGCTTATTAAGTTATAGAGCCTTAACTTCAAATTCATTTTCTTAACTAGTAACAATTTCTGCTTTTCCTGTTTACCCATCTGGTGAAATAGTTAATTAATAACATCAGTGCTTATATGCTCAAAAAGAAGCATCCAAGTTCTTCCTAATGGTATTAATTTCTTCTCACTTCTGATCAATGTAGGTTTGGGCTTTCACTCTCCAACTTACATGATTGATTGAGTATTCACTTAAGTAAGCTGTGCCGTTTAATTTTTGATATTTTACTACAGTGGTTTGAGGATTTAGCTGGATTTTGACTGTTCTGTTTTGTTAAGTACTGCTATTCCATCTCATTGTCAGACATAGATTAATTGTTGAGTGTGTTTTCCAGTATTCATATATTAAATTACTATAAGTAGAGGAAAAATGCTGTTGTCAATAACATACTATAATCATTTTCCTTTCTCTTTTTGCTTCTCTAAAGATTTAAATTTGCAGTTGGTAATTTAAAATTGCCTTTTTTCTTTTAGCTGAAAGATGCATTTATCTTGTGCTCATGTAACATTACCTTTAATGTTTTTTTGCATTCTGCATCATCATGTAGTTTATTGGGCCTCTAAAATCTCAGCACAGTTATAGTAACAGAAGAAAACATGAAGGTTTAGTATTCATTCTATATGCAATTAAACCCCTCTTGTGTAGGGGGAGGATAGCTAGCCAGTTTAATAATTCTATGACTAGGCTGTGTTTCTGATGCTTCCCATTAGTCAGTGAGAAGTAAGTACATTCATTTTTGGGAACTGTAGCGCCAAAATTAAATTGTTCAGATAAAGCAGTCATTTTCCTGATCTATGTTTCTGGTATATTTCCACACAGAAGAAAGAACCTTCTAAATCAAAAGTCAAGAAAAAAGTGACCAAAGTTGCAGAAGCCAAAAGAGTAATGAAGAGAAATTTCAAAGTGAATAAGAAAATAACTTTTACTGATGATGGGGAGGTAAGAGTCTTTGGATATTTGTTTTTGAGGTTCGTTCTGAATGTCAGGAAGAGCTCCTGGCTCATTTCCCATAGATTGTTTCCCTGTGACACACTTGCAGCTCATTCCACCCTTACTTTAGGCATTTTGTCAGTTTTACCACAGTGGCTAATTTTGTTTTTCTGGCAATAATCTGAAATTACTTCTTGGTGATGGTGACATGGAGTTGGGTTTGGGCTTTATTTTCCTTTTTTATAGATGAGTGTGATTCATCACCTGTTACTCCGGTGAAATAGTATATCTTCATGTTGAGCATTATTTATCGATCACATCATATATATCATCATTACTGATCTAAGTGTTGACTGATTAGTCTATATTTGATGGAGGGGTGCTTTATTTTTCAATTTTATTTTAATAGAATTTGGGTATTATTTTAAGATATATAAATCTGAAAAGTAGCAGTAAAAATTTGAAGTTGCTAAAATTTAAGAAGTTTATGTAAGTAAAGAATATGTATGAATTAGTGAAAAAAAAGATCAGTATCTGAACAGCAGGTTAAACTAGAATGTATTCATATTAGAACCAATGTTCACTGTAGATTACACCAGTTTTTGCCAAGGTCAATGAATGCCCTTAATTGTAATGTAATTTCAATATTTGTGTATTTCTGACAAAAGCTGTTCACCACTGTGAACCACACCAAAATTTTTATTTAAAGGATTGATAAAATGCTTCTAGTTTTCAGTCTGTAAAGAGATGTACTTTTTTCCTCTTTATAATAGAAATAAGAATGGAGCATTCTAGTAACAGGGATTGGTATGACTTTCTCAAACCATTATTAACGCTGCTTTTTTAGTTTCACAGTGTTAAGCATGGAAATTGCTGCAACAAACCTCTTTATTTTTCTGTGAAGGGCACAGGTGTCCAGAGATTAAATAATATATTCACATATTATTAGTCATAAAAGCAAGGATTTTCTTTTATAGATATATATGATTTATTTTTATTCAAAAAACAAAGATTTAAAGAGCGAGAAGGAGAAACAGAAGAAGATCCGCCAACCTCTGATTCATTACATAAATGGCCACAGTGGCCAAAGCGGAGCTAAAGTGGGGAGCCAGGAGCTTCTTCTGGGTCTTCCAAGCGGGTGCAGGGTCCCAAGAACTTTGACCATACTCAGTTGCTTTCTCAGGCTGTAAACAGAGAGATGGAATGAAAGTGGAGCAGCTGGTTCATGAACTAGAACTCCTGTGGGATGCCAGTCTTCTTGGACGGAGGATTAGGTGGCTGCATTACTGCAAGGACTTTGAACAAGATCCCTTGACTCCATTTCAGGGTCCAATTTTCTGTGTCACCTTGTTCCTAATCTTGTGTAAAGTGTGAAACTGAGTGGAACCCAAGCTTTCCCATTTCCCATTACATTGAAGTTTTTCAGTTCTTAAATAAAATATAGGCCAGTAAGTGTATCCTTGGTCAGTTTTAGACACATGTTTGATATATGTTAGATACTAAATTTGGCTCTCAGGATACAGGAATAGTATATCCAGCTGCCCTCTTGGAGATTAATAAGAGAATAAATGAAAGGGAAACAATTCAGATTGTTGAAAGAAGTGTTAATGATACACACCAGATTCATGGTGGTCCAAAGAAGGTACATGCTAATCAGCTCGCAGATAATTTTGAACTCATTCATGTGGAAAATAGGTGGCCAGCAACACTATTGGAGAGCATGCTGAAGCATTTGTATTATGCTGTTATCCTCTCCAAAATGTATAATGAAATTTTTCTTTATCTGATCAATTTGGGTTATGGCAACATTTCATTTCCTCTAATTGGGTAATCTTTTCTGCATTTTGCTCACTCTATTTATGAAGTTGGTGAAAATGTTTAAGAATTAAAAGCTGTAAGAAAGTGGGCTTATGCACCATTTTAAAGTCATTTACACACACATACCCATGCTGTACATAAATGATGTTCTGTGTTATTTGATGTTCTGTGATATTTCGTGTTACTTGCCTCACACTGAACTCTTTTCTGTCTGTAGTTGGTTCAGCAGTGGCCACAAATGCAGAAGACCGTTACACAGGATCCTGAGGAAGAAGATGACACAGGTGGTATCAACTTAGACAAAGCAAAGGAAAGGCTTCAGGAAGAGGACAAATTTGACAAAGAAGAATATAGGAAGAAAATTAAGGCAAAACATCGGGTGAGCATCCTATCTTGAATTAATACAGCATGAAATTCAGTTATTATCTTTAGATATTTAAGTTGTTAGTAGAGCCAGTCATGTTGGCTTTTGCTGGTTCTCTCTGTCTCTCTCTCTCTCTCTCTCTCTCTCTTTTTGCAATTATTTTGTCATTCTCTGTTCCTTTTGTTCATTTGCTGGAGCACTCCTTGAACACTGACTGGATTTGGAGAATTTCAGTTAAATCAGGTTTTTTGTTTTGAGGTAACCTAAATAATAGTAATGCTATTTTTGTTGTTATTTTGAAGTAATTATACTTCAAATGTAATTGTCAGAAGAGAGTTCAATGTTCTCCATTTCTATAGTTTGGTATTACTATAATGTTATGAATATGCAGCTGTGGAATACAGAAAATATTTTGGGTTTGGCTTTTGTTCTTCCAATTTGTGTGTCTCAGTTATAGTTAGTGATATCGGTGTACCAAGATTCGTTTCGCCATTTACCTACTGAAGGTCATTAGTATTTCAAGATTTAACAGTAGTTACATTTCTTCACATTGGCTTGATGATAGGATAGGAGTAAATTGACGGTTGGTTGGGGAGCGAACCTGAAAGAAGTGTTTCTCTAGGCATTTACATTGTTATTTTTAGATCTAGATACGTTTTCTATTAATTTTGATTATGGTAACGCTCATTAGTATTGTCATTCTATTCAATTCCCTGAAAGTGGGTACTTCACTAGGTACATAAATCAATTAGTGAAACAAAGCAGATTTCTAATTTAGAGAGCTTTTTTGCAACATGCTCTTGAGATACTGAATGATTTCAGTGTGCCACAAACTAAATCCTATTGTATTACACCCTGCCCCCCCATGATAAACCTTTGTTGTAATCATTACTAATTGAATTTTGAGAGTGGCCCTTAAAATTATTCACTTTATTTGACGTTACATTACGTTACATCTTTATAATGGCTTATTAAAATCTCTTCCTTCCCCAGCTCATTTTTTCTTTTTAGTGGAACAGTGCTCTTTATTTCAAATTTTGATGCAGTTGATACTACCTTAATGAAAAAGAAAAAGTAGACATTGAAGATAGCTTCAGGCCTGAAAATGTATGCTTAGGAAAATGTTGCAGAAATACAAAGAACAAATGAGCCTGAAAAATAACAGGTTACAATTTTGGGTTATTTGTGATAATGAAAGAGCTAAAGGTTTTTGGCATTATTTCTTTTACCATAGTACTTAAATTGAGATTTGGTGTTAATTTTTAAATGTATTTAATGATATGAATAGTTTGCACTTGTCACATTAAAGCCTAAATTCTACTTAGAGTATGTATCCAGTAGAAGGTTGAATTTAAGAAAATTCACTGTTTGGTATTGCTAAATTGTAGCCAACTGGATTTGGAGGAATTAGACTAAATGAAGACTCTCCTTTTATCTTGTTCCCTCTCAAGTGATACTACTTTTGAAAGCTTTAGAAAGTTAATTTCAGATTATCTAGTTGTACACTCAATGCAGTGTTAATGTGTCCTGGGCTTAGAAGAAGTAAAATATCTAAAATACATGGGTCCCTGTGTCCTCAGGAAGATTTACGATTAATACATACTGAGTGTGAATGTACGCTCATGGCACAAAAACTGTTTGCACCTCTATTTTTTTTTAATTAAAATTTTAAGAATTAGTAATGTATTCACATGGTTGTAAAATCAAGATGTTAAACTTGCTAAACTGAGAATTCATGGTTCTGCCAGTATCTGTCTTTCTGATTCATACCTCAACCTCTGCAAGTATTAATTTTTAAAAAAGATTTATCTATTTTTATTGGAAAGGCAGAGAGGAAGATCTTCCGTCTGCTGACTCACTCCCCAAGTAGCCTCAGTGGCCAGAGCTGAGCCAGTCTGAACCCAGGAGCCAGGAGCTTTTCCAGGTCTCCCATGTGAGTGAGGAGTTCCAACACTTTGGGCCGTCCTCAACTGGTTTCTCAAGCCACTAGCAAGGAGCTAGATTGGAAGCGTGGCTGCCGGGATTAGAACTGGCACCATATGGGAGCTTGGTGTGTGCAAGGTGAGGACTTAAGCTGCTAGGCTACTGCGCTGGTCCTCTACAGCTGTTAATTTTTACATACTTTCTTTATGCAAGCAGGAGTAACCCAAAATACAAATTCTTTTTCTCTTTCCGCCCCTCAAGAGTTACCATGTTGTAGATAAATGTATACTTAACCATTTTCACTACATTTGAATTTTGAAATCATTTTCCTTGCATAATGTTACAAATAATATGTGCTTGCCTCTGTATATTTATTTGTTTAGAAACAGAGAAAGAGACAGAGCTCCCATCTACTAGTTCATTCCAGTCTGCTGGTTCATTCCACAGAGGCCCACATTGGCCATGGGGAGAACTGGGAACACCATCTCGATCTGTCATGTATGTGGCAGGAGCTGTCACTTGAGTTGTCACTGCTGCTTCCTAGGCTCTTCATTAGCAGGAGCTGAGTGTTGAACAAAGACACTCCAGTGGGAGTTGCAAGATCAGCTGTTCACCCTAGCATGCAGTTTTTAAGTTGTCTGTTATTGTTTCTCACAAAGGTTAAAGGGAGCAATTTGGGGCTGAAAAAGTTGGGAGAAGTCTAACTTATACCTATTATTGTTTTTTAAGTAGGTATCTCTATGACAGAGATTAAATATAAGTCTTTTTAAAAATAAGTAGCTTTCTTTTCTGTAAAATAGGTATATTCTGTACAAAACAACCCATGGCCTACCTTCTAAAAAAATAGTTTGAAAATCGTATGTAGACAGCTGGTGCCGTGGTCCAACATCCATGTGCATCTATGTGGGTGCCAGTTGGTTTCCTGGATGTTTAACTTCCCATCCAGCTCCCTGCTTGTGGCCTGGGAAGACAGCCCAAGTCCTTGGGACTTTGCACTCATGTGGGAAACCTGGAGGAAGTTCCTGGCTCCTTGCTTCAGATCAGCTCAGCTCTGGCTGTTACTGCCATTTTTAGAGTGAACCAGCTTATAGAACATCATTCTGTGTGTAAAATAACCTTTCCAATAAAAATAAATAAAAAATCTTAAAAATAAAAAAAAAAAGAAAAAAGAAGACTATGGGTGGTAGTGAACCAGCTCTCCCTATCCTTTAAAAGAAAAAAAAAAAAAACTATTATGTAGCCAGCAAAAATCCACAAATTAACTAGAATAATTCTCTCTAGTCAACGTTAGAGTAAAGGCTACCTGATATTCATGTAATTGGCTTCTTGTATTGTTTTCATCCGTTGAGTCATTAATCTTACATATATGTGTTTGTGTTTATTTTCTTTTTAAAGATTCATTTATTTTTATTGGAAAGGCAGGTTTGCAGGAGATGACGATAGAAAGAGAAAGATTGTCCATCTGCAGATTCATTCCCCAAATGGGCACAACAGCTAGAGCTGAGCTGATCAGAAACCAGGAGCTTCTTCCCAGGACCACAAGATTTTGGACCATCCTTCTCTGCTTTCCCAGACCACAGGCAGGGAGCTGGATGGGAAGTGGAGCCGCTGGGACACAAACCAGTGCCCATGTGATAAACGAGCTTGTAGGAGAAGGATCAGTCAGTTGAACCACTGTACTTATTTGTGTGTATTTAGAGAAAATTTACATTTCTGAGAACGTTAGAATTCATGTGCTTATAATAGTAATATACTGAAGATATGATTCAGGTGTTAAAATATATTATTCACCAAGCTGTCCTAGAATGGATTTCTGTCTGGTACACATGTGAAATATTTTCGTAAATGGCAGATTTCTGCACTTGGCATCATGAAAAAGTAGTGTTTGGTGTAAAGAGTAGTAGCTTGTAAGGTTGAATTTCTGCATTTGGGTTACCAGTCACCAATTTGGACTGCACTGTTTTTTGAAGTTTTGTTTTTGAAAGGCAGAAATCTTTGATCATTTTTTTATTCCCAAAATTTCTATAACATCCAAGTCTTCACCAGGCCAAACCCAGGACCCAGGTCCTCAGTCTAGGTGTGTGTGGGTAGTGGGGATCCAGCTGCTGCAGCCATCATCTGCTGCTTCCCAGAGTGCATAGCATTGGGAAACTGGGAACCAAAACAGAGCTGGGAATTGAACCCAGGTCCTCCTATGTGGGATGGAGGTGCTTTGGCCAATTCTTGTCCCAAGGCTTGCTTTCTTTCTTTTTTTTTTTTTCTTTTAATTTGATGAATTTGGAATAAGAAATAGAGGTGAATCCAGATGATCAGTTAGATCGTCTGGTTCTGTAGATGTACTTAAGATATGAAAATAAAATTATCCTGTACTATTTCCCCTCTAGGCAAGTCAGGTTTTATTTTCCTTTGTCTTGTTTGTTTGTTTTGATCATAAATCTTTCTTTCTGTTCTCTTATTTGCCAATAGCTAGTAAAATTTTAAAACAAAGTATTAATATTGCACAGGTTATTTTACCTAATTATGCTGCCTGAATATATTGTTGGTTTCGAAATTATTTTTCATAATTGAGTGTATTAGTATAATGACAGTATCAGTTTTTCTAGCATATGGTTTTGCCTTGGGCAAATGTAATTATATTTCCTTTTGGGGCTGTCACTCATAATGTTACATTATGAAATTGTACTTCGAATAACAAAAGGTTCCCAAAGACTATTGAAAATGCTAACTTCAAGTTTAAGCATAGTTTTCTCTTTATGAAGATGAAAGGGAATGAAAAAGTTTTGCAAAATATTATGAGTAATTATTGTGACTGAATGAATTTTGCTTGTGAGAGAAAACTCCATGGAACCTATTACATGGTTTTGTATCTCACATGTGTTTTCTAAAATGCCCATCAGTTTTAGATTCTCTAAGTTTTGGAATCCTTTTTCTAGTGTGTTCAAAATGTTTTATTATGCTAGTTTTGGTTTAAAAGGACAAGATACTTAATATTTAAGTAATGTTAGGTTCTAATTTGAGCTAGTGGTTTGATTCTGCCTTAAAAGAATAAATAGCCTTGAATCATAGTTTATTGTAAGCATTCAGCCTTTTTA